TGCAGCACAAAGTGGTTAGAGCAGATCTACACACAGTGTAAGTCACACCTCCTCGCTTTGATCCATGCTGCTCCTCTTGTCGCCACTTAAACCAATAAATAATAAATAAAGGCGCTTTGTTGTATGGCAGTAATCGCCCCAGCAGGCAGGTTCAACAAGTCTCCAATTCCACCTGAGCCCCTCCCCTCAATGTACACCAACCATTTAAGACAAACTACTGTACTGTGCAAACAAGCCGACTACAGTTCCAGGTGTACTGTGTGACTCTCTCTCAATGCACCGCCAACGCTCAGCCTCCCTGTGCATAAACGCATGCTGCGGACGCAAATGCATGTGGAAAGCAAATGTTTCGAGCTTTGCGTTCCTTTGTGGATGTTTGAACGAACAGGGCGGCCTCTGTTGAGATAAGCTGGGGTCTTAAACAACCTCAAGTGGACCTCTCAGTCCTTAAGCAGCCCCGTTTAAGATAGTACGCAATCTGGGATCAAGCATTACGGCTCAAAGTGCACATTTAACATAGCTGGTATACACTGTGTACTCCTGCATAGTGAGGAGTACGCATACCTAAACCTAGTGGAAATGATGGGTTGATTTGAATTTTCAGCAGCTGAGAGAATGAACTGTCACACCCAATTTGAACTGGCGGAGCACGCGCATGGTGGGACATGTCAACAGTCTCGACAAACTATTTTGCCAGTTGGTAGCAGTTTGAACACGCCACTGCAAACCCACCACCAGGGCTGGGGTGTCACATGTATAAACCCCACAACACTGGCTGTACAGGAATCACTGTGTCCCGAATGCTTCACAATTGTAGCTTATTAGTAGAAATCTGGAGCCAAAGTCTTTTATTGAGGAAGATTAACTGTGCTTTTCTGGTATGTTTTTAAAAAGGGAACTGGTTTTACTTATGAGAGAGTGAAATGCGGCGTGCTAAACTCAGGGCTGTAATTTTAGTTCCTGGAACCAGGACACAAAACATCCACCTCCTACTGGATGAAAGCTGTCCACACTTGAACTGCAATTTGCAAGCTCTTAGAAAGACTCTTTTAGAAAGTGCAAGTCATTTCGAACACATACTTATATCCACTTTGGACAAGCGTGTGCTTTTAGTTAGTAGCCACGATCTGTGTGCCATTTACCCTCACAGCAAACACCCTGTGTCCGAGTTAGGGAATGAAA